ATAAATTAGTATTATGTCTAAAAGATCCATCTGTGTAAAATACTAACTGATGCTGAGAGCTTCCCTTTGCCAAAAAATTGTTTTGGATGAGGTCTTCTTGCATTCTATAACTGATGTATTGTTTTTTAATGACTTCAATATCCAAGTCGTGATAGCAGATCTCTTGCATTTTCCTTTCGTCTGGGTGTATTATTAGGAAGGAGCTTTTTTGTGTTGTCAAAAGGGTCTCTTGGTTAACTTTGAGTGTGTTTCTTTCTTGTTTGTTTATATACTTTAAGATGGACCCCTTTATTTTACTATTGTCAATCCAGCATATTATATATAACTTTAAATAAAAATACTATATACCATATATATATATGTTTTAATCAGTGTTGAGCAAATTAGTGGTCAACCAAAAATTTGCTGGTCAAATTGGTCTGGTCAAATTGGTCAATTGGCCAAACTGGTCCAATTGGTCAAGTCTATTATATAAATATAATATATATATTGTATTGTATTATACAGTATAATAAATCATATTTAAATATTCTATTTGACCAATTTGACCAGTACAGATCCTTTGACCAGACCGGTCAAATTGGTCAAATTGGTTTGATCTAATAGTCAAACTGGTCTGGTCAAGCCAATACTGGTTTTAATATATATCAAAGATAATTAATTTAAAAAAAATTAATTATTTTCTACACTATCTTTATACTAACTTTTACAATCAATATTTATTTAAAGCATTCTTTTCATTCTCTTTTTTTTCTTATTTTCTTTTTTAGCTATTTTTATATTTATTAAATTCAGATTTCTTCTTTATTTTTTTTTTTACTTCAGCAATCCTTCCTTTATTTTATAAATCAGCAATAAATTACAGTTAGATACATCAGTTAGCTAAACTTACGTTATCTTGTAAAAATACTATATGCTTGTCCAAATAAAGAATCTCTCAATCTGTCTCATTATTGCAGCAAAATTATAGTCACCTATAATTAAATACTAGAGTATGATCTAGGAGTGACCCGCCTAAGTGATAGTTTTTCTCCTTCTGGGATCCTCAACTTACTGAGAATGTAAACTATGGCTATCAACAGATGGTTTCACTAATCTTGTCAAAATCACTGCTCTACAATAGAGTACCACCAATCTGATGACACTTTTTCGTAGAGAAATAAAAAAGAAAAAAAAAAGTGTAAATGTAAAATGAAAAAGGGGCAAGTAAAAAAAAATGAACATACAAAGAAGATGACCAAAATATAAAGGAATTAAAAGACTATTCTAAAATCTAAGAAAACTTGTCTACAGATATAAAAACCTGCTAACCAGATGAAAAACTATCTACATGATTATAGAAATCTATATATAGAGCTATTTGACAAAGACACTAAAGTGCACTTTAACCTGTGCTAAGGGATAAAAATTATATGCCTATGACTTTGAACTATTACATATCTCATAAAACTGCTCCAGTTGCCAACTCTCATATTAAATCCAACTCGGGTCCTGAAACGTCTGACTTCAAAGCCTTAACATGTGATCGTCAGTTTTAATTTCAGCCTCAAAACTTCTTTCTCACATGTGTTTGTTGTTTTTTCTAATTCGTCATATTGCAACTCGAGACTTGCTGAGAATAGAAGTGGTAAACAATACCGATCCTTTGCCAATCTTTTGGAGGGGGTAGCCAAATCCCCCACTTTTTATTAAAAATTATGAAAAAAAGAACAACCCAAGGAAAAGTAGTGTTGCGAGGTTTCAAATTTAAAGAGCACTTTTCCAATCTGTTTGTTTTGTCCTTTAGTCCTTCCAAACATAGATTCCTGTGCTATAGTGTTCCCAAAATATCCTTTTGGTTTGGATACTAAACATGTAAAGAGAGTCTACCAAAGAGAAAAGCTTGATCCCTCTGTAAACTAACATACAGTCGCCTGCGCCTCGGTGTATCACGTCTGCAGTCTTCATCGATAACACTCTGTTACCAGGGATGAAAGTTTTACTAGAACTTTAGGCTTCAACTCTTCATCTTGCGTTTGGTAAAAATTTGGTTCAAGTGATCATTAGGAAGAGTTTGATGAATTTCTTCTTTATTAATCTTCTCTTATTTTTTTGTTAATTTATATCTACTTTCACTTTTTTTTTATTAACTTTTGTTATTAGATTTTCTTTATTACTTTTCTCCTTTTTTTTTTTTTCTTTTATTTTTTATAATTTTTTTTTTCAAAATACGTTGGCAGTGTATATATTGTAATCAAGAGTTTTCAAAATCTTATATTTTAATTTAACATATTTTGCAAAGCTATCTATATTTTAGGATTCTACAAATCATACAGCTAATATTAAACTAGATGATGATATTTGGAATCTTCTAAAATATATCTCTAATGATAAGTATTCTACAGAATATAAGGTATATGATTAATTATTCAATAATAGTTCTAAATCATTATAAATGATTATATTTATTTATTATTAGTATTATTACTATATATTTTTAAAGTAGCAAGTATGGACATTATTTTAAATTTTGGCCTGAATTAAGCTTAATTCATGCTGAAATTCAAAATAACATCTATGCCTGCTATTTTGAAATTTATGATTAGGGATGGGTAACTTACATAAGTTATTTTAACTGATATAAGTTTTGATTTTGGAATATAATTTATATGTAACTTATGTAAGTTATAATTTTTTTAAAAAAAATTTAATCATACTATAAATACGATTAATAACTATAATTAGAATTGAAAATTATATTTTATAATCTTACAATTTTTAGTAACATGGTTGTTATATAAATTTTACATGTAATATATAGTACTAGCACTATAAAAAACTTAGCTAGCATTATTAAACTTCAATAAGATTCTGTAATTTTACAAATGATCAAATGATCTAATATAATATGATTAGCTAGTATGCATCTAATTATGCAATCATAATTGAACCAAAATTTATTGAAATATGTATAAAATCTAAACAACCAAAGCCTACTATATATGTTCAAAAAAATTTACAATTAAAATGTTTATGTTTCAGAATGATGAGATTGAAGAAGCGAATTAGAAAATGTTGTGATAAAAAAAAAAGTATTAATAAGATAGTGTCATAGGTAAAATCTGCCCAAATAATAATCAAAATAATGGCTCTATAATTGAATTGAAATATGATGATGTTCTATCTAAAATACTGGTATCAAGACTAAGAGTTGAATCTGGGTTAAAGCTACCTGGGTAACCCGCAAATACAACAGATATCTAGTTAAGATATTTGTTATCTGGGTAACCCTATCCAAGTAGATTAACCAAATAATTACCCATGTAAAATATAAATTTGCAACTTTGATTACATACTGTAATGAAAAAATAATATCATATTTGTAAATAAGCTTTTTGTAACCTTATAGTTTAGTGTAGTCACAAGGTTACTTTAATTAGATTTTCATATTAATGTACTATAATTATGTAGTAGTATGTAGTCTAATAATATGTATATAAATAGGAATAGCAGCTTAGATCGTAATTCTTTAGTTCTTGTTTAGTTTTTCTTAAGTATAGTTAGTTTAGTTTTGTGAGTAGGAACAAGAGATACTTTAGAGAATATTTGTGTACTGGGTATACTTGATAGAAAGATACTTACTTGTATCGCTGATAATATTAGTATTCTTAGTGCCTTGTATGTGATCATAAATATTTGGTTTATTTCTTTTAGTGCTTACGATTCTAAGCTAAATTGGCTGTATTTATATAAAGTTTCTCCTCTAGTTATAGCATTCTTGGTATGAATTGTGTGAAGTGAACAAAAGCCAAGAGTCGGCTTGTATTAAGAAATATTGTGTAGAGTGAACAAATGCCAAGAGTTGGCTTGTATTAAGAAATATTGTATAGATTAAATGAGAAGGAGTACAAGCCGAATTCGTATTGTGTTAGAAAAAAAATTAATAAAGTAAACACAACTCAAATCTGCACTGTGCTAGGTCAAAAGAATCTAAAAATAGCTGAGAAACAAAAGCTGAATTCGTTTTGTGTTGAGTTAAAAATAACTAAGCAAAACTTGAATTCACATTGTGTTAAGTCAAAGATTATATAAAAAAGATTGGGTATTAGAAAATAATTTCACGTGATACAATTTAATAAATACTCTTCTTGTAAAATTATAAATTATAGCATATGAAATAAAGTTGACATAGTATAGCTATATTAATATACTACAAATTATCTGTAATTTTATTTGTTTACCTAGATAATTCAGATAACCCAAATATACCTAAATAACCAAAAAACCTAACTGATAGTTAACTGGGTAAGGTTTTTTTTGAATGGGTCTAACTCTTATCCAAAACCTCTATTGGGATCTCACAATTGAATAAATCATGCATCTAACTAGCCCACAATATAATCTACCACTCTGCTAAATATAGAAGGGTCAAATAAAACCAATCTAATCTCTAGAGAGTAGTTTTAAATAGATAATAAGATGATTTTGTCTTGTTTGGGTAGAGTCATAAATAGATGCATAGTGGTGACAAGACAGGAATTAGATGATTAGAAATGGCATTTTGCTTTTAAAAATGCTGGGTCGTGTGATAAAAGCTAAGTAAAAGGAGAAAATTGGCTTGTAGTTAGTGCATACAGTAGTAAAATATTTCAAAAAGCTAACATTTTTTTCTTCTCTGTATTTTTACTATTGTTATAGACAAAACCGTGATCTTAAGCCCTTGAAAAGTAACGTGAAAATGATGCAAGAATGTTATACAAAAGAACTATCATACTACACTACCCCAAAATTCTAAGAACCTGAATTATGATCTCATAAAAATATATAAGCTAAGCTCCCATCAACAATCTTATTGAGGAAAAAGATACTTACTCGATTCAGTATAATAGCTGTCAAGGTAATATTACTTTGTCAAGTAAAATATATGGCTGTAAAAGAAGAAAAGCATATGAATTAATAAGTAAGTTAATAAAACTATGGGTAAAGAACAATGATAGTGTAGAAGCCTTTATTTGACTTGCCTTTTTTTCTATTTTGTTAAATATTTCAATAAAATAGCTATATGCAAGAAATAGAGAATTAGACTAGAAAAGGTTGTATAGCTAAAGTTCAATAGCAGTATAATAAAAAAAGATGATGAAATTAATTAGAATCCTACCTGTTACAATCCAAAAACACTCGATAGTAAAAAAAAATCATGGGAAAAAATTAGTAGAAGTTCTAAAGAAATAATTAGCAACATAAAAAATATATATAAACAGTTTCAAAATAAAAAAAATTATCTTTTGTAATTCTTAAAATAAATAATAAAATCAAAGATCCTAATATAAAAATTAACAAATTAAATAAACTATATAAACAATCACAAAAAAAAAGTAAAAAATTATAAATTCTTTTAATTTGTTTTAATAACAAATTCATGCTATAACAAAAAGAAGATTTTTGAAGCAGATTTAATAAAATTAATCAAAATGAAAAAGAGTAATAGAAATGCAAAACATGTAGTAATATATAGATCAAAAATGAGTCATGAATGCAGGATCATTATAACCAATGTGCTTTAAAAAATTTAAATAAAGAAAAAATGTCTGCTATTATGAATGATAATAATATACAGATTATAAGAAACAAACAAAAATCATCAATAGAAAATTATTTATACAAGTTTATTAAAAAAATACAGCAAATAGTATAGAACCTAGTAATAGGCAGACTACTTAAATAAGCACTCAAAAGGCACAGGTATGGCTAAATGTACTCTCCAAATATGTATAATGATATCTTTATATAATAAAGCACAACATGACCAAAAGGTCACCTTAATACCAAAAAAAAAAAAGTTTATTAAAAATAATCAAGAAGAGCTAGAAAGTTTACTAGCATATAGATTTTATTCTGCTAGTATTTCTTTTAATATTATAGAAAATGAAGATATAAAAGCTTTTTTTACAAAAGCATGCCTATATTTTAAATTGTTTTTATGAAAATCTCTTTTAAATTTGCTTCTTACTAAAGAGTATAATGATATAAATATTGTAATTAATCATTTACTTAATAAAAAATCTTTTTTTTCTTATAACTGATGGCTAGTCAAACATTCATAAAGATTCTATTATTAATTTTATGATTACAATGCCTAAATCTATTTTTTATAAATCTATATATACTAAAAAAAAACATCATATAGCAGAGAATATTGCAGAAGGAATTGAGAAAGTAATACAAGAGCTTGATATTAATAAATTTGTGGCTATTATCACTAACAATATTGCAACTATAAAAGCTGCGTAGCATATTTTAAAACCAAATACCAAACAAGAATATTTTTAGGTTGTTGGGCTTACAGGATCAATTTATGAATAAAAGATATCTTAAAATTAGAATAGTCAAAAAGTATATATAATATTGCCAAAGAAATTGTTAATTATTTTCAATCATATTTTATTCTATTGGCAGCACTTTGTCGACTTCAAATTGAAAAATATGGAAATATAATTGGCTTGGTATTACTAGCAGATACATATTGAGGATTAGTATTTTATTGTATGAATCATCTATTACAAACAAAAAGTGCTATTCACTTATTATTAATTAAAGACAGTATAAATATTAACTATAATATCAAACTTCATATGATGAATAATCAATTTTGGCAAAATCTTAAACTTTTTTGTGATTTTTTTGAGCCATTTGTTAAATTTATTCATAAATTAGAAGGAGATATACCACTTTTATCATCTGCATTTTTTAAATTACAGCAATTAGAAATGATAGTATATAACAATATCTGTATTCCAAATTTAGTAATTGTAGAAAGTATAAAATTAGTAGAACAGTGATGAAATGATTTTTGTATAATCTAGCAACTATGGCTGCATATAAATTAGATCCAAAATATTGTAGAAAAATTTTAGATCCACAAAAATGGAATGCTCCAATAAAAAGAGAAATTATAAGTCTTGCTAGGCCAGAAATGAGAAACAAGTTTTAGAAGAACTTGCTGAATTTGTAGAAAGAAGTGATAGATTTTTAGCTAGCTACTTGTAGAGTATATTAAAAGAAAAACTACATAATTAGTAGAATTTAGTTAAAACACGATATCTAGTATTAAGTGAAATTGCATTAAAATTACTCTCAATACTTGCAACTTTAGCTAATAGTGAACAAAACTAGTCAGCCTTTAATTTTGTTTATACAAAGTTACGTAATCACTTACTTAATCTTTGTATAGAAAAGATTGTATATATTTACTGGAATTTACAGGCTTTACATTCATTAAAATAGCCAATTTCAGTTAATGAATTAAAAAAAAAAAATATTTAATTGAATATAATACCAATAGTTAACAAACAATTGAAAAAAAATCAATCTAAGAAAATGATTTAGAAATAAATAAATCAATAGAAGAAAGTTTCTTTTCGCAAGAATATAATTTGTCAAATATGAATGATATAGATTATGTTGATATTGATGATATGAAAATTTATCATATAGATAATATGGATAGTAGTTCAGGTAATATAAACGATACAGGTAGTAGAGATAATATAAATAGTATAGATGATATAAGCGATATAGAAATATAAAATAGATCATTAATATAAAGCATAATTTTTTTTATTTTTTGCAAAGAATTTGTTTAAGGCAAAATTTAGTATATTATTATTTTAATATTATTATTTGATAGCTTTAGTAAAAATCATATTTAACAAATAAACATTATAGTTTTCATAGTATTTATATTTACTAAGCATAAAGTTAATCTGTATTCTATTAAATCATATCTGTTGATAAGTTTTTTAAATATTTATTCACTTGAATATAAGTTAGTATATGCTAAAAAATTATTGCTTTTGGTATAAATATGTAAGTACTAATAAATAATTTTATCTTATTTTTAGTAGTTTATATAAAAATATTGATTATTGTCTTTGATATTTGTGTTGATTATTGTTTCTGATATTTAATACTTATAAATACTAGTGATATAATTAATAAGAGAGTAGAAATATTGTTGTATGATCTGTAACTCATACAACTATTGATCAGGATAACTGCTTTTTATATCAATGCTAGCCAACTTTATTATAATTTTGGCCAACTTTATTATTATATATTTGTAAGTTACATAGGATGTATGTAATTTACAATATAACTTACAATATAAGTTACATTGTCAGATAAGTTATCCTATCACTAGTCGCACCCCCTAAGTGTATATACTGGAGACCAGATATAAT